CCCCCCTCCTTTTTCCTCACCCCCTTCTTTCTCTCTCACGCCCCCTTTCTCCTCTTTCTCACCCCCACCTTTCTCTCCCCTCCCCCTACCTTTGCTGTAGCGTGGCCGAGCCCAGTATAGTCCGCGGGTACAGAGAGCAGCTGTCTCCTGTACCTGGCCGGACTAACAGGAAGTGAACACTCAGTGTGCACTTCCTGTTAGTCCGGCCGGGTACAGGAGACAGCTGCTCTCTGTACCCGCAGACTATCAATGCTGCAGTGAGGGAGCTGACAGGAGCGCTCCCTCCTGTCAGCCCCTCTCCTCAGGCTGCGCCAGGGCGGTGCGGTCCGCCCTCATGGACGCACCGCCTGGGCAAAGCTGCAGCCGCCTGAGGCTCTTTACAGAGCGCTCGGGCGGCTGCAGCATGGGGGGGGGGCCGGCGGGGCTGGCCATGGCACCCCCCACCCGGCTGGCACCCGGGGCGGACCGCCACCCCCCCCTTAGTACGCCACTGGCACTACTACCATACTGAAAGTCCAGAACGCCCCGGCAGAAATACACAAATAAACCTTTCTGCAGGGGAAAATACAACTATCAGCACATGGGCCATAGTCGGAAGGCAGGAGGCTAGCCAGTAGTCCCCTCCAGGCACAAGTGGCGAAGGGCACTTTGTCACACATCTTCCTTTTGGGGGGAAGACTAAACAGGTACCTGACATTCTGCCAGTCAGTACCTAGATTAGTCGGGCAGCCCACCCACAAAGAAAAATATGCAGAGTAACCCCCCCACAATAAATGGTACTGGCCTGTAGGTTCAAGTTTGTAGTGGGACAGCGCAGCACTCTCGGTCTCTCTGGTGCAGCTAGGCAAACTGCTGGTGTTGCTTGGGGGGCAGAGGCCAGTGGTGCTCTGCCCTGCTGCCAGCTCTTCCACTGGGGTAACCCGTGGTAAGTCAGGCTCTGACACAGGGGAAAAGAGGGGGCAGAGGCTAACAGAGCTCTGCCCAGATGCCAGCTCTGCTGCTGGGAGGGGGTCAGTGGGTATCATAAGCTCATCCACTGACCCCAGGACCCGGTTGGGATGTAGCTGGGGAGGGTAAGTGTAGCGGAGATGCAATATTACCCAGGATATCTCCGCTGGTAATCCAAGTGAGGCTCAGGAACAAGTAAATAGTAAATCCACAGGCAAGGCTTCCAGCAGGTAAAATACAGCAATATCCCAACAGCAATCCCAATAACTGGACGACACACAGTTTCAGGAGCATAACTGACAAGCTTTTAATCACAGTCTCCTTATAAAGCATGCTCCCATGCAAGGGAGGGATTTACAGTAATTATTACAGTAGCCAATCCTGTCCTGGTAACCTCCCACACATCTCCTCCCCTCAGCCAGCATCATAATCCCCTTATCCAGCACACCAATTCCCCCCGTTTCTGGATGTACCCCTAAACGTAGGGGTACCTCTTTAAATCCTACATCCCCGGATACCCCTGATCTGGGTGAACAACATATCCAAAAATCACCCAGATCAGACCAGGGGTTCGGGAAATGTATGGAGGGAATAAAATGACCGACCGCACTAACTGATATAGCCGAATAAGGTTCCATGCGAATGGGCCCTGCGGTCGGTCCTGGCATAAGGGAACAAAATACACGAAAGCCTCTAGCTATAGAGGCTAGGGAGGGTTCGCCTGAATCCCCTCGTTCGGTATTTTCTATCTACCGAACGAGGGGCCGTTCGGTAGTTTGGAACCGAACGGACCAGGGCTGTGGAGGTCTCAGCGGTGTTCGCCTACTCGAGTGTCCGATTTTAGTTCCAGACACTCGACGGCAAAACACCGCTGTTCGGGAGTTTTAAAATGGCCGCCGCCACGTGTTCGTTTGTCGAATGGCGGCCACCCCGAGAACAAAGGACGGCTACTTACTATTCAATTACCCGTTCGCAACAATGTTGCAACGGGTAATTGAGGACACACTTCACACAGGGGAGGTCTGGTTGTTCGGTAGTTTCATTCGAATAAACTAAGGGAATGAAACTACCGAACAATCAGAGGAATACAATTCTTTTTAATACATAGAAAATACAGCAGATACACGAATGCAGGTATATACAGTATATTTGTAGGGTCGCCTGGTGCCATCCGCTACAGTAAGTTTTGCTTACCTCCTCCTCCTGGCATCCCTGCGGGGTTGGTTGGGGTTCTGGACCGCCCATCCAGCCTCCCTGTAGGACTGGCACAGACACCGCGGTCCCATCTGCGCCAGTGTGGTTAGGTTTGTCTTCCCCCTCCCCTAGTATCTCTGGCTGCTGTTAAAGGGGGAGGCTGGTTGCCCCCACTCCCCAGGACGCTGGTTGCTGTAAGGTGGAGGGATCGACCATCACCTCCTCCTGGGACTCAGGCCGCCACTTGGGAGAGAGACCGGTTGTCTCCTCTCCCGGCAAAGTATACTGCTGCTGGGAATCTGGGCCGGCTGCCCAGCATCCCTGTAGTTCACCCTGCCGCTGGGGAGGGAGGACGCTGCTCTCCTCTCCCTGCAAGGTACACTGCCGCTGGGAAGGGGAGACGATGCTCTCTACTCCCTGCACTTCACACGGCCGCTGGGGAAAGGAGACACGGCTCTCTATTCTCTGCAAATCAATCTGCTGCTGGGGATCGGGCTGACCGCCCAGCATCCCTGTAGGGCCGGTGAAGAGACCTCGGTCCCATCTCCACCTGCCGTCTGGGGTTCCTCCCAATAAATCTCTACAATATCTTACCAGCTGAAGGGGTCTGGAACTGGATCTGCCACTCTGATTTTCTGTCGTGCCTTTTCAAAGGAGTGGAACAGATGTAAGTAGCTCTGCTCCAGCTCCCACTCCATTGTGACCAGATGAATCAGGTCTGGCTCCAGGTCGTCCACTCGGGGAAGATCCAGCAGAGTTTCCCTGATGTCGTGGATGTCCCAGAGCCGACATTCTGCGGGGCATCCAAAGTCATTCCCCTTCTCAAAGGCCTCCCACTGTAAGCCCGGGCCATTATAATCCTCTCCTTCCGGCAGATAGTGGTTAGTCATCCAGGGGTTGTGCTCAGTGGCGTACCACTTTAGTGCCCGGTAAGCTCCATCCAGCCACAACTCCTTCCAAATCAGGTACCGCAGTTCCATTACCAACTCATCCAGGGGTTGCTCCCCTAGGAAAGGTGACCGCAGGGCCACAAGTACCTGGAACCTCTGTTCGTCACTGGGAAGGCTCTCTCTCCGCCGCCGCTGTACCTCCTCTAAGGCCTCATACCACAGCTCCTTCCGAGTGGCGTCTCTCCAGTCCAGTATGCCCTTCTCTGATACAGGCCCATCCTGCTGGGCCAAGTGTTGCTGCACTCTCCAGAGAAACTCCTCTTCACATGGGGACGCTGCACAGTCGCTAGGTCGCTCCATTCTCTCGAGTTCCTCTATAGACAGGGGCACTGCACAAGTGCTAGCGTTGACCTCAATTATAAATCCGTAACTCCAC